ATTTTCTTCAATAAAAATACTCTCATTGTGAACCTCTTAATATAGTGAATTGACTCTCAAAATAAAGAAGAAAATCTTATAGCCAAAATATTTAATTATAAATAATTGACTTGTATTGAGAGTTATATTATAGTAAATTTACTATAATAAAAATTCACTATAATGAGAGAATTATAAGAGGTTCACTACAATGAGAGTATTATAAGAGGTTCACTACAATGAGAGTATAAAAAAAGTGACTTGTGATAATTTTTTTTTTTATATACGTACGTTAATCAATTAATTAATAATATGTACCGGTACTATCACGTATGTACGTCGTACACGATATGCATATTTTTAATTGGTAACTTGCCAAATTACGCACTATTCGTTAAGAGTAGTTAGTGTAACAACCATAGTTTCCGATAATATCAGCAGTTTGTAGCGGTAGGCTGAAAACTGCACCTGCATAATTTAGGATATTGCTTGCATACGTAACCGCTTAATAAAAAGCAGTAACAGCAAATTGTGATACGTATTTATCTATTTTTTTTTTTTATTTTTTGATAATCAAAAATGTCCAACGAAAATTTGAGCACATTAATCGATGGTTTCAACAAACTGAATTTTTCAGATTGTCAAAAATTGGCAGATACGGACGATCCAGATGGAATGCACTACTTGCTTAGATATTATTACGAGTATGCTCCAGACGGAATGTACTATTGGCTCGGTTATTGTTACGAATATGGAATTGGAGAGGAAAAGGATGAAAAATTGGCATTTACGCATTATCAAAAATCGGCAGAAATGAATAATTCTAACGGAATGTATCAAGTTGGTTATTGTTACGAATATGGAATTGGAGTAGAAAAGGATGAAAACGCAGCATTCACGCATTATCAAAAATCAGCAGACATGAATTATTCTAACGGAATGTATCAAGTTGGTTATTGTTATTATTTAGGAATTGGAGTTGAAGTTGACAAGCATAAAGCGTTTACAAATTATCTGAAGTCTGCTGAGGCTGGTAATTCGATGGGAATTCAGAAAACTGCCATTTGTTACTTTTATGGAATTGGCGTGGAGAAGGATGAAAATAAATTTTGGGAATGGCGTGAGAAGTAAGTTAATTTTAATTTTTTTATTATAATAATTTGTAATTTCTTTATTTGAAAATTTGAAATCACTTACACAATTTTTAATTATTAGGGAGTAAGTATAAAATTGCATTCATCAATTTATATCAGCAATACAATTTCATAAATACTTATTTACCATTATGTTTAAATTCATTTCATTCGCATTAATTTAGTCTGTGAGTATAAAGAATATTTATTAATCAATGGAATTAAAAACAGCAAAACAAGTTCACAAAACAAGATCATAAATACTTATTTACCATTACGTTTAAATTCATTTCATTCGCATTAATTTAGTCGGTGAGTATATAATTATTTACATCTGGCATAAAGTTCAAAACTGCAAGATTATAAATAATTATTATGAATTATATAGAAATTCTAATTATGGAAAATGTGCGCATTGTAATGAAGATAACACTAACAATGCATGGTGTCTATCATGTGACCCAGACATAACAACAAGGTGGACAAGTGAAAATAAAGTGATTGACGATTGCATGAAAGAATTCCAACTTAGAGCCCGTGCATACGCAGATGCCATTGAATGGATTCCATTTAATAGATTATCTAATATCAAAGAAATCGGTAAAGGAGGATTTGGCTCTGTATATTCAGCAACCTGGTTAGATGGTGTACGAAAAGTTGATGAAATTAAAGTTGATGACAGCGACCATTACGATGATATTAATGATGACGACATTAATGATGGCGACATTAATGATGACGCCATTAATGACGACGATGATGTTGAAAACTACATTTACAAAAGAGCGCGTGAACCATCCAGCACCGTTGCACTCAAGACGTTGGCTAGTTCTAAAGAAAATAATGATTTTTTAAAAGAAGTATGCTAATTTGCTTTTTTTTTATAATTAACATATGTAATAATATTTCATAGAACTGACTTTAACTTAACTTATTGCTTAAACTTTTAAGTTTAAAAGTCTTATGGAATGTAAATTACAGTATTACTCTACTAAGCTCGCAATCTATGGAATAACTCAAAATCCAGAAACAAATCAATTTCTGATGGTATTTCAGTATGCTAATAATGGAAGTCTTTATAAATATTTAAGAAGAAACTTTAGTAAACTTACATGGGATGCTAAATTGCAAATGCTTAAAGAAATTTCTGATGAATTAGAAAATATTCACATAGCAGACTATGTTCATGCAGATTTTCATAGTGGCAACATTTTGCAAGAACAATCCATTAATGAAAATATACAATCTTATATCGCAGATTTAGGATTGTCCAGAAAAAAAGATGAAAAAGTTTTAGAAGAAGAGATTTATGGAGTTATGCCCTATGTTGCGCCGGAAGTTTTATTAGGCGAGAAGTTTACACAAGCAGCAGATATTTATGGATTTGGTATTATTATGACAGAAATGTCAACTGGTCAAAGACCTTTTGATGGACGTGAATTTAATACTAAACTTGCGAAAGATATTTGTAAAGGATTGCGTCCAGAGTTTGCACCTGAAACTCCTAGATGCTATATTGAATTGGCTGAGAAATGCATGAATTCTGATCCAAAAGAACGGCCTGGAGCTGTTGATGTTTTAAAAGCAATAAAAAATTTGCTTAAGGAGATAGCTAGCTCAGATAATAATGAAATTAAAAAGCAATTCTTAGAAGCAGATAAAGTTATTAAATCATTGCCGATACCAAAGCATCCTGATGAAATGTACACTAGCAAAATTATTAGTACAAAATTAATTTTAGAGGCAATTAAAGGTAATTATTTTCAATTAATAAATTAAATTTATATTATATTAATTTTATTTAAAATTAATATTATTTTCCTATTTAGATTTATCTCAATCGGATTCTGCTCAAATTAATCTTGATGTTGCTAAAGTTTGAATACTATAGTATAAATGAAAATAATAAATAAATTTTATTTCATCATTTAAATTTGTATCTTTATTGTAATAATTTATATATAAATATTATATAATTTGATCAATCTGAATTAGCAATTTTTTGTACTATCTAAAAAAACATACAGCAATTTAGATTTTATAACTTTACTATTATAAATATTATAAATATTAAAACATTTTATTAGTAACATAGTTACACCAGTAAAATGAGTATTAAAGAAAAGAAGGTCAATAGAGTATTAATAGAAAATAATACTCAATAGAGTACTAACTATTTAATAGGGTTTTTACTAATTATTAACTATTTAATTAATGGTTACCAATTTGGTACCAACAGGATATTAAATCTTCAATAGGGTATAATCAATAATCACCAATTTGAAACCTCTAAAAACCAAAGTAGTTACAGGTTATTTCTTTAAAAACTTTTTCACTGACAACTTTTTTCTAAAAATATTCTCTTACAAACTATTTTCCAACATACCCACTTTCTTATTTCTTTGAAATATCTATCTCTTCAACATATCTATCTCTTCAACATATCTATCTCACTAACATTTCTTTTCTCCAAGATTCCAATCTTTGAAATTCCTATTTTCTCAAAACTATTTTCTTCCTGAGTCTCATTTTTCAAAAAATTCTATCTCTCTGAAATCCATTTTCTCAAAATTATTATCTTCCCAAAATTTGTCTTTCCCTAAAATTCTATCTTTCTGAAACCCTCATTTTTCTAAAATTCTATTTCTCTTTTCTCAACAATTCTATCTTCTGATATTACATGGCATAAAAATTATTGTAGCATAATTTTATCTAAAATTTAATATAAGTAATACCTAAATCTAAAATTCATGCTACAACACAGATCCAAAAAATAAATATCAGATACCTAATAGCTAACTATATTGGCAATATATCAAAAAATATTAAAAGCATATTAGATAAAAGAATAAATATCAGGATAATGTAGCTGCGCGATGCTGTCATACAAAAGCAGAAACTTAAATTTATAAATTACCTGGATATAGTACAAAATACCCAAAATATCCAATCTTGCTATTTATATATTATAGCTGGTATTACATAAGTGCAAAAATATGAAATATTGATAGTACAAAAATTGTCAGTCCTATGACTAATTTAATAATAATGATATCTCTAAATATTAATGTTTGCATTATTACAAAGTGGAAAAAATATTTCTAAATTTTTGTGCTTAGGGGGCTGACAAATATTAGCTTATTATACTCCCCTGGGATTTTAACTTAATCCCACCCAGAGTCAGTTATTTGAAACAGTAAAACTTACAAAAAATGCATAATTAGATTTTTGACAGTTTACATTGTCAACTGTCAAAAAACTAATTATATATTTTTATAAGTTTTACTGTGTTAAATGACTGACTCTGGGTGGGATTAAGTTAAAATCCCAGGAGGAGTATAATGAGCTAATATTTGTTAGCCTTCTTAAAAACTTTTATATTGTGAATTTATACTTTTTTGCAATTTTTGTTTTTTTTTCATCTTCATTTTTTTACTTCATATTTGTATGTTATAAACTAATCTTATAATTAGTTTAAATAAAAATTACAAAACAACCAAATTTTTGTACCAACACTATTTCACTCAGCAGAAAACTACCGGCCAGCCTTAAGATACCCAAACTTAACTGTTATTTCTAGAAGTATACCCCATATTAGTTTTATTCAAGGTGATATAAAGTCAACAAATTGAAAAGATGCTAAGCATAGTGATATGCAATGTGAAACTATTAACCAAAACAAGTCTGGTTCAAACAATCAAAGGCAATGAGTGGGTATAATTTGTATAACTTTTTATAAGCAGTAATCACTAACTTGATAAACGCAATAATGAGAATAAAAATAAACACATAGCAAATGCAATTGGGCTTTGTGTCAACGATTAATTACTCAACTATGACAGGCCACAATTTGTGATTCAACTTACCCTCTCTCCTAAAAAAATCCAGCTATTCTCATAATATTAATATTACATGTTGTACTGAAGGCCATCTCATTATATATCAATATAATATCACATATTTATATTAATAGCTGGCCTGTATTACACAGGCAAGAAACTACTAGCCAGTGCTAATCTGTACAAACTCAACTGCTTATAGTGATCTTCCAATTCAATGTTATTTGCTATTTTAGGAAGCAATCTTATTTTAGTTTCAATATTTCAATAATACATAATTTGCAACTAATATAATCTGCATCTATCAAATAAAATTTAACTCTGGCATATCAAACTGGACCATTCCAATTATAAGAAATATGCATGCAATACTTTTTGATATTTTAATAACATATATATGTACATTATATCTTTTTTAAATAAACAAATCTGTTCAACAGCAAGAATTATACATAACAGAATAAATCTAAATTTATATTAAATCTATAAAAAGCAAATCATACTATATATTTTTTATCCTTTTAATTGATTACCTAAAGTAGTAAGATATAACAGCTATAAATGCTTGTACCAGAATTTAGAATAAGTATATAGCTACAATTTTATAAAAATAAATTACTTTCATATAGTATTAAACAAAACTAGTATACATGATCATATACATGATATTCAATAAACAATTTAAAAATACTATCTAATAGGATTTAAAAATTTCCATACAAATAGTTGCCTATAAACTATACACTTTATACTTTGTACTACACTCCTGATAGACCTAATATTTATTTTTTACCTAATATACTTCTGATATTTTTTTACATATTACCAATATAGATCAGATTTTTGGCAAAATATTAGTAATTATTGGATATTAGATAGCCAATATTTACACTTTGAACCTGTGCAACTTATAATCAATGCTGACCAATACCTAATTATAATTAATATTATAAATATTAATATAGTGCAAAAAAAAATAAAGTATGATAAATTAGTAGTGTATACATCATGTCATGCAAGATCAGTATAATCAGTTATGTAGTAATAATTTATTTTAGAATATTTTGCTTAATTAATTTATTAAGATATTCTAGTATTTATCTGTACTGATTAACATGAATAAAATAATTGTTGTAGCTAATGCTAAAATTTTGACTTATTTTATTATAAAATTTTAAAAAATTTTCAGGTCTATTTGTTAGAAGTTTTTTTTAGTATAAGGTTAGAGTTTAAGAGTAGAGTTGTTAATAAAAAAGTATATGTGAATTTTAGTAAGTATTATGGATTTAAATTGGAACCTTAAATTTTAGCATCAGCTGCAACAATAATTCTTAAAATACTAGAACAAATAGTTTACTTTTATTAAAAAGATTTTATTAAGTAAAATATTCTAATTTTATTATTTTCCCAAATAATTTTTATAATTTACCATATATATGTTGTGATCATTGTTAGAGATCTGAAACTTTTTTTTTGTTCTTTGAGAATATAAATTTTAAATTTTAGGTTCTCAGAAAGATTTTTAATATTCTCAAAAGTTTTTAGAAATAATACAATTTACAAATTTTATGTTCTTAAATGAAAACATAATTTTTAAAAATTATGTTCTCTAGAGTCAATAATATTAATTGTGAGTGGTGCTGTATTTATATAGAGTATTTGATATTGGAAGAATAGATGAAATCAATATAATTTGCATTAAGATTAAGTTGTTTGTTGGCTTTTTTCCTTTAGCTAATACTTCTAAAGTATAGTAGCTAGAAATACATTTGGAGTTAAGGCTACAGCCTTGATAGGGTGTACAAGAAATAGAAGGTAGTGAGCAGTGATTAGAAATAGTGATGTCGATATTATATTGCTAGTATATTATAGAAATAGTATTTGTTTGTATAAAGGTCCTGCGAACTTGGTTTATTACAATATACTCATTGTAATAAGTTAAAACCCAAGATTTGTAAGTTTTTTTTTTTTTTTTTTTTTTTTATTATTATTATATAATGTCATAGTAGAAACTTTATTACAGTCAGTCTGAAGATTGAAAGTTATCTTAAAGTTTACAAATCCAGATAAAGAGACAAATAAGCTACTTATTTATAACCAGGCTGCCAAAACCCTTCAATTTAAACTAGTAAATTTTAAGAAGGTTGATTAGAAAATAAATTTCTATAGTTAAAGATTTCTAACTACACTTGTGCTACAGAGCACCCAATGTGACATTACACCTCCTATTTTCTATTTAATGCTATTATTAGTTTAAATAAATAAAATAAATCTAGCTAGGATAGGTTGGAGAAAACCCTAAGGTGTGAATCATGACATTACATAATGCATGTTGTTAGAGAGAAGCCTTGTAGGTACCATTTTTCAATGGCAGAGTGTGGGTTCGGTAGTTGAGTAGTGGGTGTTTTCATATTTTGTTGATTAGTAGAAAGTAGTAAAGAAAATTTAGTGTGTTTTGTTTTGTTAGTAATATTTCGGGCCAATTCCCATTGATGTTGATGTATATTGCATTGAGACCATATTTCATAGTAGAACCATTTAAAGAGATTGTTTGAAAGGCTAATTGCAAAGTGTTCAGCTTGTTTTTTGAGTAGGGTTTTAAAAGTGCGATATATTGGTTTTGAGTAGATACCAAGTATAGTAGGAAGTAAAAAGTTATATTGAGGGTTTATAGAATTAAAAGTAGATTGTGAAAAAGTATTGAGAAATGTAATTGATGGGATAGTTGTAATTTGGAGTTGTTGCAGTGTATTTGAGATTATGTTAAGGAGTGACTGTTGGATATCTTCATTGTTTTTTGAGCATAGAAGTATATGAAGAGTATCTTCTATTGTAGAACATTTGCAACAGCTATTTGTTGTATAAAGATTAGGGTATCAGATTTTGAGATTTTGCATAGTTGGTAGATTATTTGTAAGAACTTTAATATAGAAGGAGTATTTTGAAGAGCAATGTTCAAGAGAGTTGAGAATTTTGAAGGTAAGATTCCAGTTTATATCAGATGTATAATTGTTAAAGGATTTGAGAGAAGTAAGTTCTTGAATTGTAATATTGCTTTTGATGAATGAGCGAATTTTGAATGTTATTGTATGATTATACCAGAGAAAGTAAGTAGGGAAGTTAAAGTATGAGTAAAAGATTTTCATAATTGGTTTGGTTGTACCACGTTTGGCTAAGAGGTTATGAAGAGAGCTAGTTGAATGTGATTTAACTTTAATAAGGTTAATAGAAATATTTTTTGTTGTTAGAAGTGAGTTGATAATAAAAATAATGTCCTAATTTTTTTGTTGAATAAGTTTATGAGGTGTAAAGCTTAATAAGCCTTT